CTAAGCTAGGTTAGCATTACTTGCAGGAGCTCCGCGTCATACCGGCAAAAGAGTTGTTCTGCATAGCAGGATGTACCATGCGGAGCATCTGGGGTCTTTCCAAGACCTGACAGCAGGTTGTATGTATTTGGAGGTTACGAGCACCTTGCCGGTAATTCTGCTTTCTCTCAGTCGACCTACTATAGGGGCCTTAACAATCACTTATGCTATTCCGGGGTTCCTTATCATAAGCACAGTTTAATGGGCTCCAAAACCCTATTCTAGTTATTAAGGCCCCTTTGTCATAGAACCCTCTTATAGGTCCCTTATAGAACTCTTAATAAGAACCCTTACAGGGACCCTGTTCCAGTTATTATAAGACCCCTTTGTTATGCCTGGATGGCGCCTAAACCCTAAGAGCCTCGTCTGGCTGTGTCCGAGTTGCGAGAGCGTAAACCCCAAACCCCTAAACGCTGACATATCATGACGGAGCCTCTTAGTGATGTCTCACTTTGCAGACGCGAACTCATATGCCTCGCCTGGATTGTCCGAGTGTGAGCGCCGAAACCCTTTTTATAGATCCCTTATAGGAGAAGCCCTCGGCCAGGGGCTCCGCGGCCCTGAGCGCCGCCTCCCGTGCGCTGCGCCTCGCGCTCTGGCGCAGCTGCGAGGCCTCGGAGAAGACCTGGTTTTTGGGGGTCTACTCAGAGGTTCTAGGGTTCTAGGGTTCCCTTAAGGGTTCTATAGGGCTTAGAGAGTGGGGTTTTATGTCCCCTAATATGGGTTATAAGTACAGTTACTCGTACTCTACTTATAACCCTACTAGGAACTACCCATGAACCTCCAAGTAGGGCCTAAGATGTGCAGAGGGTGTTAGGGTCAAAGCAGAGAGCATAAGGGGGGGGGTGGATTTTGTGAAGGGGTTTTGGGGATGTAACCGAGTAAACAGAGAGAGACAGAGAGAGAGAGAGAGAGAGAGAGAGAGAGAGAGAGAGCTGGAGAAGAGAGAGAAAGAGAGAAGGATCGCGGGGAGATTCCATTGATCCACTGTCCCTGCCTCATCCCGTGTGTAACACGCCCCTCATGCCCGGCACAAGAAGAGAGAGAGAGAGAGAGAGAGGACTATATGTATGTATGTATGTATGTATGTATGTATGTATGTATGTATGTATATATATATATATATACATATATATACGCAGACGGACATAGTTGCATATGTATATATATACACATACTATGTGTTTATTATGTGTGTGTATATATATCTATATATATATATATATACGCATACACATCGTTTCGCAGGTTTCGGCCGTTTCGAGCACTTGTCCCAATCTTCATACACAGCAGGAACCTTTACAATATCAGAAAAAGATTGAACCCTTAAAACGCTTTTTCCTGGATTGTTAGCAACCTGTTTTTTCTTCTGGAAGTATGAGCCACCCCAGCACTTTGAATACTAAGTATGTAAAGCCTAAACCCGAAAACACTTGAATCAAAAGTGCGAGCGCCGAAACACCCGACAAACCAAGCACGTAGAAGGCGGAAGGCCTTTGGCTGGCCTTGGCGCGGCGAGGTCTGGGTGCTGCGGCGGCGCCTCGGGCGCAGAAAGCCGCAAGAGCAGTTCAGGTGCCGTAAGAGGTTTTTGGGCCATGTTATACCGTAGATATAACAAGGAACCGTAAGGAAGAGTATGCCTTAAGCAGTTTTGCGGGCATGTTTTACAATGGTTATAACAAGGAGCCGTAAGGAAGAGTCTGGGTACGCGCTCAGGCATGTCGTGCTGACGTGCCCCGTTGGAGTTCCACGAATGCAAGCCTTGCCTGGGACGCTAAAACCCTTCCCCTAAGAGTCCGACGTCGTTCCAATTTGACGCCCCCAGGATTACACCGAACCAGCGCCTTGAACCCCTAAGCACTGAGTGCCGAAGCCACTCCTAAACCCAAAGTAAACCCTAAACATCAGCACGCCCTTTTCCAAGGTCGACACCGTGCGGCGGGCACGTTCCGATGCTTCTGGGCCGGTGGTCTATCGCAACCGGACCCGGCGTTTCCAGTTGTCAGTGTGAGGGCCGTGGAGTTTAGGGTGTTGGCTTGAGTCTGGTGTTTATATTTAGCACATGCAGAATATTTTAGCGTAAGGCCTTGGCATGAGCACATAACTGTTGTCATGACTGAGAACCTTGGTTCGCCCTGGCGCAGCGAAGTAGCTTTGGGAAGGTCCCGTTGAGCCGTACACGGGATGAATTCAGCCTGAGCTCCCACCCGCCATGTTGGTCCGAAGGCAAAGCCCCAAACCCTACAAACGCCGTAGACCCTAAACTAAACCCCTAAACCCTAAACTTACCCCTAAACCCCTAAGCCCTAAACCCTAATGATCCCCCGAAAAGGTATCGCTCGGGGCTTGAAGCGTCTCTTCGACAAGAGCTTCGAGCTGCTAGAAGGAGGCTGGGAAATGGGATCTTTAGCGGGGTTTCATGTACGGGCCTTGCTAATTAGAGTAGGTTCCTTTAAAGGGGTCTCTATAGGGGCTACTATAAGGGGGTAATATGATATAGGGGGGTCTGACACCTGGAGGGGTCTGCAGAGCATTCCGTCCGAGGCGTCGACCGCAATGCCAAGGGCTTCACCGTGGCCTGTCGGCAGACTTGGCGGGCCATCAGTGACAACATCACTGACACACGGGAGTTTCCGAAAATTGGGGATACCTTATTTTGGGGTCCTGATAATAAGAAATCTACTATTTAGGGTACTAGTTTAGAGTCCCCTATTCTCGGAAACTCCCATATGAACAACCGAGTTGCCACCGGATAACCTTTCTTTCTCGCATGCCAGCGTCTTGTCGATAGTTGTCGCGTCTCGTAACGCTTGCTTCGGAAGGATGTCGGTTCCTCCACGCACACACACACACACACACACACACACACACACACACACACACACACACACACACACACACACACACACACACACACACACCCACACACACACACACACACCCACACACACCACACACACCACACACACCACACACACACCACACACACCACACACACCACACACACCACACACACACCACACACACCACACACACCACACACACCACACACACCACACACACCACACACACCACACACACCACACACACCACACACACCACACACACCACACACACCACACACACCACACACACCACACACACCACACACACCACACATACCACACACACCACACACACCACACACACCACACACACCACACACACCACACACACCACACACACCACACACACACACACACCACACACACACCACACACACACACACACACACACACACACACACACACACACACACACACACACACACACACACACACACACACACACACACACACACACACACTGTCTGTGCAGCGTCTCCTGCCTGTGAACGAACCGCGAGGTTGGAACCATAAAAAGGCCTCTTGTAATTCGTCTAAACACTTGTTGCTAAACACCTAGGGACCTAGGGTTTAGGGTTCAGACTCCACACCCAACCGGCAAACCTCGTGCAGCAATGTCTCAGGTCGTGGCCTGTCCTGTAGCACGGAACCTCGTGCTGCTCGGCTGCAGTCTAGAGAAGATGCCCTGAGAGTGTCGGTTGTTGAATACAATATGTTTCTCTCAGAGCTCCTACATTATGCGGTAGGTTTTTCGGACCCACGAGAAAGTAATTAGAGGGCTTACCTTTGAGAGCTTGTGCAGGGTTTCGGCTTGGAATTTGGGGAATGGGTATTAGGATCGGCTTTCATTGGCCGAAAACATGAGCCACGTTCAGATGAGCATCCGAACCTAAAAGCCCGTAGATGAGTAAAACCCCCCAAACCTCAAGCAAACAACACTACCCCCGCCCGAAACACCGGAAATCTCAGAGCCATCCCTAACGTTGAAACCCCACCGCCCAAAGCCCAACCAGTTCTAATTCTGAAGGGGTTGGTAAGGTCCCCCACCTTATCCAGAGATGCCAAGCGGTCGAGTAAGAGAGTCCAAATCACCAATGTAGGGGCCTTCACAACTAGAAGAGGGTTCGGGAGTATATTATACTATGCTTATAATGCGGAATCCAGAAAACCCTATTCTAATTGTTAAGGCCCCTACATCATAGTACCCTTGATCCCTTTTAGTAACCCTTATGGGCCCTGAAAGGAACTTTATTCTAATTATTAAGGCCCCTACACGAAGCCCAGCCGCAGTCCCAGCTTTTCTGGCCCAAATTCTCAGCTGCCCCCTCTCCGCCGCATCGATTGCACACTCCCCACTCGGCCGTGGACTCGGTGTTCTTTGCTGGGCTTGTGTTGGGGACTATGCCTGGAGCATTATGCAGGGGTTCAGGGGCTAACCGCTAGAGCCAGCAGCCCCCAAAGTGACTGTCCGCAGCCCAGATTCTAAGAACTCCATAACCCCCGATCCCCAAGCTCGATTGTTGTCTTCGTGATACCGTTATTGACCCGTCGACTGCTTGCTTGCCCTGCTGGGGTTCTGGCAGTGCCCGGGTGTGAGCGCTCAAATCTCTAAAAATGCATGTGGGTGCCAAAATTATGGCCCCTTTTTGGGTCCCTATGGTAATACGGCACCTAATATTTGGGGTACCCAAAAAGGGACCATAATTTTGACAACCACCCATGTATAAAGCCGGACGAAGAAGGAACGTCGGCGCCTTGCTCGAGGTCCAGTTAAACCCGGGAGGAGATTTGAAAGCACAGGACTCAAGGACAAAAGGCGTTGGTTTAGGGCGGGTATGAGCATTAGGTTCGGGTTGAGGGTGCTTCTTTATGCCCCTCCTACTCGGTCCTGCTGCTGCTACTGCTGCGACGTTTTTTTTAAGACCGCTGGTGGGTTTTAGTCGCTACTGCTGTTGCTGCGTGGTGTTTTGTCAGCATCGTTGCCATGGCTCCACCGGCTGTCTTCGCCTAGGCTATAAATGCCAGCCTCTTCCCCTATCCATAAGCCGCAGGTCCTAGAACACTTTGCGCCGAGGTATGGCTCACCGCATCCAGAAGATTGAGCAGCACGTGCTGGCTGGCGTCCCCCGCTTACAGCTGTGAAGCCAGTGAAGAGATATATAAGAGTTTCCGAAACTAGGGGACTCTAGTATATCACCCTAAATAGTAGGACCCTTATTATGAGAACCCCAAAATAAGGGACCCGGATCCCGAAACCCTTTCTTTAAGGACTTGAGCACTTCTCAAGGGAGGGCAGGTCGATGAATCGGTTTACATTCCGTAGAGGATCGCCTTTGTCTTAGGATGCCGCCGTCTCCGGTGGCCTCGAGATGCGCGGCGTCGCAAGCGCCGAGGATGCCGACTTCGACGCCCGCGTGGCGGCCATGAAGACCTGGACCCTCGGATCCGGGAACCTTACAGTATGCCGTAAACCTCCAAGTTTTGGCTTTTAGGATGTTTAGGAGTTTATACTCTCTACATCTCGGAATTGAAGACAAGTTCTTCGCCGCAGACTTTGCTTGTTACATTCTTGCTTGGAAGCCTTCTGTCGGCAAGACCTCAAAGCACCTAAAGACATCTAAAGACTATCGAGCCTCCACCCACTATCCTTGCGCCTTCCTCGCCTGGAGAGTCCGAGGATGGGATCTGAGCGCTTCAAGCACACCACGCGCCCCTACAAGGTCTTGCTTTTGGCTTGGATCGGTTGAGGGCGGAAAGGCGGAAACGACCCGTGAGTTTTGCTAGTTTTACGGAAAGATATCATCGTTATCGTTTGAATCCCTGAGCCAACAGCGGAGCGACATGGGCACAAAAAAGCAGGGAGTCAGAACGCGAGCATCAAAGGATCTATGACTTCGAGGGTTTAGGTCGGGTTTAGGGTTTCGTTGTCGGGCTTTCGTGCTGAGCGTGTTAGGCTTTTGCCGAGGACCCGCGTTTTTTTGGGTATTTTAGGGTTTCTTAGCAGAAGTTGCCCGTGATGATTTGTGATGTGTATTGAGCCAGGTGGAGGATGTGGTGAAGCTCCAGGGCACCATGCCCATGTACTTCAACGGCGCCAAGATCTCCGACAAGCTTTACAAGATGCTCAGGGACCACCAGGCAGCACTGGTGTCACTGCATTCGGGTAGGCTCCATGCACTTTGCCAAAGCCCCAAACTTGCCTCATGTGAGTTCAGGCCAAGGGAACCTGCTCCCACACTTTTGGCGCCCTCGACACTGTCCAGGCAAGAGGGAGGGAGGGGGTCTTGTTAAACTGAAGGTGTCGTTGTCTTCACGGCTTTTCAATGTTGATCCGTTGTTGCTGCCGTGCCATCTTGGATGGGCATTCCGGCTGTTATTGGGGGAGTTCTGCCACTTGCTTCCCATGCGCAGGGGGTGTTTTCGACACAGCGCGACAAGAGTAGCAATGTAAGAGCTTCTCCTTACGGGCCTTCCGTGCTGCAAGTGGCAAAGCGTGGATAAGTGGGTGCGAAGTATCTGGCACTCTTGGTTGCGCTTTCAGCCACTGAAAATCATTCAAGCAGACGTGCACCCAGCAGCAAGCTTCATCACACTGACTTCCTCGACCCTACATTGACGTGTCGCAGGTCACCCAGATGGCCAAGTACCTCACGTCCGTGTACGTCAGCGGCTGGCAGTGCTTCTTCTGGGTATGGAGGGACGAGCTGAGAGTGTTGGGGTTTAGGACTTGGGGGCTGTTGCCTAAAGGAGTTACCATCGGATGTTCTAGCGCAGTAATATCTACACAAGGGTCCGCGTGAACCAGGGGTCTGCAGTACCTTCAAACGTTCACTCTGGATCAGCGCGCCCCGAGTCGGGCCCCGAGTCTCCTGCCTCCGAAGTCGCCTTGGTACGCAAAGCCAAATGATGTAGGGTTGTTGTTGCTAGTGGGCCTGTAGCAAACATACCAAAACAAGCACGCACGATTGTACCCATACAGATGATCCTCTGCAGGATTGTTGAGTTTTTTGAGAGTTCTTCTAGCATACCGAAGTACCTGCAGCCTGGAGCCGTAATGCCTTCAGACCCTGAGGGGTGCAGCTTTAGTTTCTACGGCGTTACCGCCGCACTTCTAAAATCCGGAGGGCCGAACCCCCCACATGCGACAAAACCTCCCTCATTGCAGAGCAAGCATTGTCGCTGGACGTTCCGAGCTGTGTGAGGCAACAACCCAATGTGCTTTCTCAGACACTTCGCGAAGGCCTCCACAAACCCCTTGCCTTGAAGCCCAAACCGAAAGGGAGCCTAATTTAATCCCTGAGTCTTGAACCTCAATGCGCCGGAAACCTAGTGTCCCTGCATTCTGGTAGTTTCGGCCCCAAACAAAGGTGCTCCTCCACGGCCTCCACTTCCAACGAGCCGGGTCCGGATGTGGCGGACTACCCTTACGACACCGTGCCCAACAAGGTACTCTATGGCCTTAAACATTACCTATACTATGTTGTGGTTCCTTATTCTAAATTTGTAAGTATAGCATAATGGGCCCCAAAAGCCTATTCTAATTATTAAAGACCCCTAAATCAGGGAGTGGGGGGCGGATCTGTACTGGCAAAGGCTTTTGGAAGAGCTCCTGCGCTCCTTGTAAAGCGTAGTATAGAGGCCTAAATAGTTCCAACACAGAAAATGACACATTACTACGTATTTAAGATTGCAAAATCATGGAAAACCAGCATTTTGACTGGTAAATATGGGTCCGTAATGTGTTACACTCTCCAGAAAATAACACATTACGGGTTTTAGTATAATTATGGCATAATGACAGAGATCCCCCAAAACCCTATCCTCCTAAAGTACACCCGCTGCTGGACAGGTGGACCAGCTCTTCCGTGCCCAGCTTTTCCATGACCGCAAGCAGTGCCCTTGGCCAGATTGGGTTCGCGGGCCAATTCCGATAGTCCGAAATGCCACGGTACTTGACAGTCGACACCCAAAGGGTTTGCCCAGTTGAGTTGTGGCAGTTTGGGACCGCGCTGGTAGTTGCATAGACTGGAACTCATCGTGCCCGCGACATGTAGCAGTGAGTAAGCCTCTAGGTTCTACTCTGATACTTGCAGGGCACACTTATCATGGAGGTACGAGGAGCGCCGACGCATGTCGCCTGATGATCGCTCAAAGGCCACGGTTGTGGTGCCTTGGTGTGAAGCCTCCGGACGATTGGAGCATCAAGTTCTGTCGAGATCACAGTTGCCAGAGCACCAACTAAGGACTACATGAACCCCATCATTGCCGATGCGGACACCGGCCATGGCGGCATCACCGCAACGATGAAGCTGGCAAAGATGTTCATCGAGAATGGTGCCGCCGGCATTCACATCGAGGATGGCCCCTTGAGCATTTCTAAGGTCGGATCTCCCTGCTGATCCCACGTCCCCTAGAATATAGAGTGGGTGCAAGACACTGTATTGTACGATTTAGCAGAGTGGGCGCAAGAGACTGTATTGTACGATTTAGCAGAATACAGAGGCCTTTTCATTATTATAAGTATAGTATAGTGGGCCCAAAACCTTATTCTAACTATTTAGGCCCCCCCATATTAGCTGGCATCCGAGGAGTGCTGCAACGAAGGAAAGGCCAAGTTTGTGTTGTACACTTTCAGCATCACAAAAATCGAAAGGGGTGGAAGTGGCATACTACTGTATGCAAACCCTATTGGATTTATTCCGGCCTTAGTGTACCCTCAATCCAAAGCCCTGGCAAGAACACTCCAAAGCCAACGTTGTAAGAAGAAGGGCGGGGGGCTCATCCCTACGTCATCTTTTCTTTTGTCTTGGCAAGACCAGAAGGCCCGAGACCCTAAACCCTCAATCAACCCTGGTATCTGAAGCCATGCCTTGTCCGAGTGTGTGAGTCGAAATCAACCCTATGCCCGACATCCTGGCGTCCGTGGTGGCAGGACCAGAAGCCTGGCACCAAGAAGTGCGGCCACATGGGCGGCAAGGTCCTCGTCTCCACCCAGGAGTGTAGGGGCTCGTTCAGTTGGAGTGTCGGGGGCGTTTAGGGCTGTTTGAGTGGAGGGTTTCGGGGTGAGGTCGGTGAGGGTGGCACAGTTTTCAGGGCTCGTGTTCGATCGATCATTTGTCAATTGTTGAGGCGTGGATTCCAAAACTGCTGGGTTCTCTTCTTTGCAACTTCATAGGCGAGGCTACAAAGTTGCGACGGGACACCACGGACATGAAAACGTGTTTGGGGGTTTATGGCCGATAGATTCTGAGTCAGTTACGGAAGGAGATGCAGCATGGCAGTCCTCGGATTCCCACTTCTTCCGAGCAGTGGTCTCTTTAACTTGATGGTGCAGTCCGTCGCAGGAACACATCCAGCGTCTCATCGCGATCCGCCTCCAGGTACGATTGTTGCAGCGTTGTGTGCTCCGCTTCGGAAGTCTACATGATTTGCTGCAAGATCGGCAGCAGCAAAGACACCCGGATGTTGAACAACAGCAACAGATGCTTCATGCAGTAGTCTGTATGATGATTACGACTCAGAGAAGTAAGTAGCCGTTACGTCTTCGAGGCCCAGACGTTTCAGGAATATTAGCGGCTCCAGGCTGCCTTGGTTTATGAAAAGACCAGCTTAGACACCCCGAAAATCGCACTTTGGGGGCCTCTGATGCTGAGCCGTGAGAGCTGACTTCTGAAGCCTAGCTGAAAGAAGCTGGGGCGCTCAAAAAAAGGGGAGGGGTCCTGTTCCTCTCGTGGTGCTGTCGCTGTCGCGCTTCGTCCCAACCGTTGCACCTACTACAGGGGCCTAAATAATCACCAATACTATGTTGGACATTCCTCATAAGAATGTTTAAAGTATTTAAATCCTCAAAGCCCATTCTCGAATTGTTAGTTAAGGCCCCAAAATATTCATCGAGATCCCCGAGCCTGGAAGCCTCGCGCGCATCGAGGTCATCTGAGCCAGGCCCCGAGTTGCGCGATAACGAGGAGCCCTCTCGAGCCAAGGGCGCCAGGGCCCTAATATACCAACTCCGAATCCGAAACTCCGAATCCGAAGTTATGAGAATGCAGACTCCAAAATATCGCAAACCCTGTGAATAGCCTTGAACTTCTTGCATTTTTCGTACTTAACACAGCAGCCCGACCAGGCCGACGTGCTGAACTCGCCCTTGGTCATCGTGGCGCGCACCGACGCCGAGGCTGCCACCATGATCGACTCGAACATCGCAGCTCTGAGTAGTTTTGGTAAAGTGCAATTTCGAGGTTTCTATGGACTAACGAGTGTTTCAGGGTGTGGTTCAGGGTGGATTGCTGCTCGCATGCGGAAGAAGGGGAGAGTGTTTTGTTGAGACTCTGGTTTGTCCGCAGATACAGTGGCAAGACAGTCCCAGGATGTCCCTAGCTTGGCTTGAAGTCGCTATTGGCTCGCTGATATGTTGGATTTTCACATTCTTCGCGCTTTGCTCTCAACTCTTTGCTTGCCTCGCATGCTGCTTTCGTGGCTAGCCTGTCTTGCGCAGCTGTATAGGTGTTGGCAAGTACCTCCTGCAGATTCAAGCAACATGACAACTGAGGATCCAGTCGACCATCCCCACATCAAGGGCGCCACCGTCAAGGGCGTTGAGACCCTGTATGAGGCCATGCGCAAGGGCACCGACAAGGACTGGGAGCAGCGATCCGGCTGCATGACCTTCCCGGATGCCGTTGCCAAGGCCATGAAGGCCAAGGGTCAGGACCCGGCCAAGTTCCTGCAGGATTCCCGCAAGATGTCTATGGACCAGATGAAGAAGGCGGCTTCTGGCATGGGCTTGGACATCCACTTCGACTGGGATGCCGCCCGCTCCGTGGAGGGCTACTACCGAATCAAGGGCTCCACCGAGTTCTGCATTGAGCGTGCCATCGCCTTCGCCCCCTATGCCGACAGCATCTGGATGGAGACCGGCAAGCCTATCCTGGCGCAGGCCACGCAGTTCGCCAAGGAGGTCCGCGCAGCGGTGCCCCACCAGATGCTTGCCTACAACCTGAGCCCGTCCTTCAACTGGGACACCGCCGGCATGACCGATGCGCAGATGGAGTCCTTCATTTGGGACCTGGCCAAGCTCGGCTTCTGCTGGCAGTTCATCACCTTGGCCGGCTTCCACTGCGATGCTTTGAGCATCGATCTCTTCGCCAAGGAGTATTCCAAGCGAGGTGCGGCCGCATATGTGCAGATGATCCAGCGCAAGGAGCGTGAGCACAAGGTGGAGACCCTGACCCACCAGAAGTGGAGTGGCTCTGAGATTGTGGACGAGATGGGCAACATCGTGAGCGGTGGACTTTCCTCGACCGGCATCATGTCTGCCGGCGTTACGGAGAAGCAGTTCTAAGCAGCTCAAGCCGTTCTGGCTCGCACAGAGTGTTCCTGACCTTCTTGGAGAGTAAGGCTCAGGCATGCAGATTTTTCGTCACTACCTGACAGAATGATAGTTGCACAGGGTTTTCAGGGCAGGCCTGTCTGGTCGACCGGCCAGGTCGCATCACTTCCTCAACAACCCCGAGCCCTCGAAAACAGTACGACCGAAGCCTTTGGGCTTCGGCGTAGAAAACGCAAACAGAGACAGGCCTTGCCCAGGCCCCTGGCTTATGCTCTTTTGGCACATGGCCGCGGTACACTCGGGGTATTCTGCCTCGTTTGGCGTGCGGCCGATTTCAAGAACGAGACGAGACCCAATGTGGCCAGCAAAGCTGAAAACAGGCAATCCTCCTACCTCTGAGCGCACCATCATAGCATCTTCGTGTTGCTGTTTACTTGGTTTGTACAAGCTTCGCGCTCATGCCAGCAATCTAGGACCTGGGCCCTTGACATCAGGCTTCATGCTGCAGCCTCCGGGTGAGGGGGTTTGAGAGTTTTGGATTGAAAAGGTTTTGGAGGTCTGGGTGTATGAGCCTTTCCAGTTTTGACCCCAGCCGCCTCACCTAAGTAGAATACAATTTGGGGGCATGGCATTCTATAATGTTATCATTACAATAAGGAACCCGCCCAAGGAACATGGACGTCGGGGCGCAGGGTGCGGTGCGGCGAGCAGCCGGCGATGAATTAGAGGTCGGCATGCCCTAAACAGCTGCAATTCCCTGCTCGAGCCTGAACCCCAAACCTTAAACCCTATACCCTATGTGGAGCCTTGCCTGCTGTGCGCGAGTGTGAGCGTCGAAACCCTATACCCCAATCCCTAATTTGCTACCCTAAACCTCCAGGAAGCCGTGGCCCAGCTTCAGAGGAACTGGGAACCGACCCCGGTAACCTTTGCGCTCCGGCCTGGTTTCAGGCTTTCGGGGTTTTGCGGTTTTGGGTTTGGGGCTTGAAATTAGGCTTTGGGGTTAGGATTTTGGTGAGATTGGGGGCTTGTACCATAGAAGGGCTCTATAAGAGTAGTCTTATGAGGGTTCTTTCAGGGCCTAAAAAGGTTTCGTTAAGGGTGTCTACCATTGTTCCATAATGGTTGCGTGGGAGTTTTGGCTTATGGGGTTGGGTAGTCGAGGGTGTCGGAGTTGGTCAGAGTTCATACTCACTGGTCGGGATGGAGAGAAACAGTTCGAGGGCAGCAGGTTTGGTGCTTCGGGGTTGGGAATTTGGAGAATCACCCTTCGGATCCATGAAGCATCACTCCAACTGCAAGCCCAAGCCTACATCCTAAATCCTAAGCTTTACAACTCATAGTCAACATCGTCGCTTCCCAAACTCCTAAGCGCAAAATGCAAGAACGTATAAGGACTTCTGCACAGGGGGGTTCAAAGGGATCTCCCCCGCCTGGTCCCAGGTGCCTGGCGGACGGCTTTCGGAGTCTTCTTTCGCAGATCCAAGGTTCCGGTTGAGGATGTACGGTTGTACGGTTTGGTGTTGGGATATGTTGGGATGATTGCAGGCGTGGTTGAGGCTGCAGGGTTGAGGGTTCTGCGGTTGATGTTTTTCTGGTTGAAGGGTTGGTTGGGTATCTCTAGGCTCAGTGGCGTCCTTGTCACAAAAGTGGTTGGAGGCGTGGGGGGTCTATCATCACCCCATCCCTTCACAGGCACCCATAGACACACTATCTATCTATCTATCTATATATATATATATATATATATACATATTTATTTATTTATATCACGCAAGCATCGAAGCAGATCTCGGAATGTTTCGGATCCCCGGAGCTGCGGAACCCTGCATTTTAGCCGTATTCCATGAGCAAGCGGCCTGAAACCGCTGAAACCGCATGCCATGTGCGTCCCCGCCGCCGATCACAGCCAACCCTCTAAACCCTAAATTTAAACCCTACATCCTAAACTCTTCGGCATCCTGTCGGCAAATCTAAACTCGAAAGCCCGAGATCTTAGATATATAAAGGTGGTTGTCAAAATCAGGGTCCCTTTTTGGGTCCCCTATATAGTGGGGCACCTGATATTTAGGGTGCCCGAAAAGCGGCCATAATTTTGACAAACACCCATAAGAAAAGCTCGACTACGTCCCAACCCCTATGCCCTGATTCCACAGAAGTCGAAAGCCCGGGATTTCTAAACCCTAAAGCCCCCCCGAATCCTAACCCCCCGAGCCTCTAGACTCTAGACCTTGCAGTGCCGACGATTGGATGAGAGGTCCCGTGAGTGGTTCAAGGGTCTTTGCATTGGTGGTGGGTGGGTGTTGGATCGTCCAAGCTTCGGTTACTGGAACTTCCGACGCGATGTGTGGAGCCTTGCCTGCCTTGTGCGAGACGTGATCGTCGAAACTTACTTGAACACAAACTTCGAACCTACAAAAAGCTTTAAACGAGAAGCCAATGGGACCCCTCACAAAGACACCCCTTTAACGCGAATCAACCCTAAATCCTAAAACCCTGAGCGTGAGCGTCGAAACCCTAAAACCCTAGAGCCCTAGAGCCCTGAAGCCATGAAACCTAAACTTAAACTCTGAAACCCTATATTATAAACCCTAACCCCTGAAGCCCTAAACCCTGAAGCCCAAGACCCCAAGCCCTGAAGCCCTGACGCCCAGGAGAAGGTCGCCCTGACCTTGACGGAGATCCCTTCCTCGGTGCTCCGCATCTTCCAGAACTGGCAATCGGCTCCTCGATCCGAACCACCTTCGGGTTCCTTTAAGGTAAAAGCCAGAAAGTTGGAATATGATTATCCTAACCCTTCTATGGTAGATTATAGGGTATCCTACCATGAAACCATATTCCAACTTTCTGGAGTTCCCTTTAAGCCCTAAACCCTAAACCCTAAATCCTAAACCCTGGAGTCTCCTATAAAGGGTTCCCGTAAGGGAGCCCTAAGTGGGTTCCTTGAGTGTTCGAGGCTTGCTTCAATGGTTGGTTTAAGGATTCCTTTAAGGGTTCTGAACGGCTTCTATTCTAAATATGCTAGGCTTCTGCGACAGCTTTTTTTTGGGGGGTTTTCAGGGAGCTCCGATGGTTTAGGCTTCAGGTCCGAGGAATATTTGAAGAGATTTTAGGGAGACCGGCACTGAATCGGAGGGGATAAGCCTAGTATAGAGGCCTTAATGATTACCTAGACTATTTTGGGGGCTCCTTGTCATAATTCTGGTGCAGTAATCCTCAGAGTCCTACTCTTAGTCATTAAGGCTCCTATATTTTAAGCACCATTTTGGAGGTCGTCTTGGGCTGTGAGGATTTTTGCTCTCCACGACGGAAAGACACGCCATTCAGGGACGGAGCCAGAGTTGAGGGGAGGGATATTTACGAGTGAGTTGCACCCGAAGCTTGAAGCCTTGAGTCCTCGCTCTTGAAACGATGTCGAACGGAACTTTGCGTCGTTTTGTGGCATGTCGCACCGCGGTAAATCTACTTGGTGGAAGAGCTGCGGCGGCCGTTGCTGTTCATAATCTCTCTGTGCCAGGACGAGGAGGATCGGCACACGGCGCTGATGTCGCGACTCGGCGCACACCCACCCAAGCTAACGCACTGCGCGCCGGGCTCAAGCCGATCACTGCAAGATGTGTGTGTGTGTGTCATATATATATACATAGAGACACGTATTGTGTATATACATATATATATATATATATACACATACGTATACAGACACACATATGTGTTTGTGAGCTTGGCTCACAAACCCTCATCTGAAATCTGGAACTCCTGGACCTGGGCACCTTTCCCAGGTGGCTCGACCAACTGCACGATGCGCTCCTGAGCGCAGTGCCCGCCGGTCCGAGGTTTGATTTCTTTCGGTGTTGGTTCACTCAGTCCCGACTTATCAAGCCGATGGTCCCAACATCCAATTCGCAAGGTCCGTAGAAGCGCGAGTTATCCTTTGTTTCTATCATGACTTCTTGCCAGCGTGACCATGGATGATGGTGGTTAGTTTAGTATTGTTATCAACATATTAGGTTTTCGTGATGACGATCACGCTGATGATAGTGGGTGCTGTTTTTGTTGTTTTTGTTGTTGTCGATAATTCTTCTTCTTCTGCTTCTTCTTTCCTTCTGCCTATTGTTGCGACAACCTCTTTCTGTAACTAGTCGGTTGCCTTACTTGCAGTACTTATATACCTACTTACTTGCGTACATGCAATCGCACTTACTTGCTTGCTTAGTTGCATGCCTAAATACGTACTTGCTTGCTTACTTGCTTTAAGACTTTGACCACGACCACCACAACTACTAACAACAACAACTACTACTACTACTACTACTACTCCTCCTGCTGCTGCTATTCGGTATCGTTATCTTTGTTGAAGCTGGTATCTTTTATTTGCTTCTTTTGCCAAGGCGGGCGGCAGGTCATCGAACGCTGGCAATGCCCACGCTCTGCACGGGAGGTATCGGAATCCCTGTGCAATTTGCCGCTCGAGTGCACGGAGTCACGCTCCTGTAGGTGCGATTTTGGGCTCCATACGGGGCCTTAACCTTAAATCTCTCCTTATATAACCCTAAAACTCAGGTGGGCGTGGCTGTGGCTCGGAGCGTTTACCGTGACTTTCTCGCGCATCCAGCAGATGCTTGCCTAAGTTTTGGTTCTCTCATAGGCCACACAAGGGGTCACGAAAAGGGCAACGTACGCTAGTTGCTGCATCTAGGGGGTTCGGTATGCCGTGTGGTAAAGAACGGTCAGGACGACGTTCCTGAGGGATCCAGAGCCTAACTTGGAGCAAACTGTCCAGAGTTCCAGCCCATACTTTTGCTCATTACTCCCAAGCAGCTCGCGCAGTCGTGCTGGCAGCAACCGAAATTCAACGAGTATGATGATGAGAACCATGATCGTAATAATGACTACAAGAAGTGCCTTTTCAGATTTAAAACGCACTTACAAGCAACAATTGCAATGCAAGGACCCTCTTCGAGTTCGAATCTGCTGCTTCGAGCCCGGCCACCTTCATATGGTGCGAGTTCGGGCCTCAGAAATCTCAAGGCACAGGCCGTACATTTTACGGTTCGAGGCAGTTTTGATTAAACAGCCTCGACGATTAGGATAGTGTTTGGGGAGAAAGTTGTACAGTCATGTAGGGAATGAGGGCTTTGGGTTTTGGTTTCAATTGCTTGGTTTCATGCTCGGACCTGCGACCTGCGAAACTCGGATCTCTCTTGACGACAGCCGGAGGCAATCAAAGATGAGATTGTCGACAACTTCTACCGCCCCGAGACTGCAGAGGAGCTACACGGGCTTCGGAGAACACACTCATATACACGCAGACGCGTGCTTGTGCACCCACCCAAACACATAGAGATGCATACGCGGGCACCTATCCTTGTATGTATGTGTTACATGTGTGTCTCTTGCGTTTCTTGTACAAGCGTAGATGCGCACATGCACAGTGAAATATGTATACGTGCAGAGATGAATGATGAATGGATGCAATGGCTAGGCAGCGTTGTCATGATGCCATCGCTGCAGCTTGGAAGACACAGCCCTGACCCGGAGCATACCCTAATATGGCTTATAAGTATAGTTACCTTACTCATAACCCCACTTACAACTACCCAGGAACCTACCTTGAAGGGGCCATGCGAAGCACAGCTTCAGTGAAACAGAAGACCTCTTCCAACCCAAAAGGTCCCCACCCCAGAGACTCCGAGATCCCTTATGCCCCTTAAATCATATTGGGGATGCTACTATAATTTAAGGTATACGCCTTCATTATTAATGGAGGTGCACCGTAAATCATATTAGGGATCCTACTATGTTTGAAGTTGAAGGTATGTGCCTTGATGAAGGGATATTGCGGTCTTTGGGACAGGGATGACTCCAGCGCAGGATCTCGTCACGCTTCTCCAGCGGCCGCGTCCTCGGTGCTTGGGCGCACCCAACCGTGGCAACGAGGGGTTTAGGGTTTGGGGTTTGGGGTTTAGGGGTTCGAGCATGGTGACACACCTTAACCGTTAATAATGCCCTTCGTAGAACAATACAACCAAAGCCTGAGTTCTTCGCTCCTGTCTTGTGGCAAGAGCGGAGAGAGCACAAAGTTCGGTGGGTGTTTAGACAGTGGGTTTCCGCTGCTTGGAGTTTACCCTGAAGCCCAAGACTACAGCCGACATCTTTACCCCAGCCGCTCGAAGTTTTGGAACCGTCGCTGCGTGGACCCTGAGCCCGGAGTCCTACAAAGCCCACGCCCTCAGTCAACCCTAAGCTCTAAACCCCGTACCCTGACCCCTAAACATGAAACTCTGCCTGGATTGTCCAGGTGTGAGCGCCGAAACCCTCAACTCTAAACCCACGCAACCTACCCTCACTCTGCTCCCCTTCACACCGATGCGCCACTGTGCCGTGCTGTAACTACGGGGGTCCCCAGGGACATGCAGAATGGGGTCAGGGCGCCTTGCAATTCAGGGTTTTATTTTGGTGACGTACTGCATTGCCATGGTCTGTTCTGTCTGCCTGAAGTTGCGGCTCTCGTCTTCTGGACCTTCACTTCTGACTTTTGACGGAGGCTGTACTCCAGATCACTTGGTGAGCCAGTACATATTGGGCTTTTGCTTTTCCTTGTACACTGGACCTTTACTGCCTAGTGCACATGAAGGAGGCTGTACTCCGGAGAATAACAGACAACCATGACACAATGCTGGGATTGATCCTGAATCGTGTTTGTCGAGAAGGGAGGCTGTACTCCACTCCAGGAACGCTTGAAACGTCATGGAGGCTGTACTCCACTGGTGCTCACTTCAAAGGCTCCGCTTGGATTTTCATCTCTGCGGGTTACATCGGACCATATCGGACCACACAGCTGGTTTTGACAGGAACGGGAACAACTGACTTCCGACGACATTGATTCTGGGACTGACCATTCCTCGCCACCCTGGATTACAAAGTTACAATGTTGCCCTACAACTCTATCTGGCGCGGGCAAACTGCAGCCTCGGAGTTTCTGTGCAACAGTGCAAACACTACAGTGAAGGGATGGAGGACAGACGACAGACGGATGCTGAGCCAACGGGCCATCTTTGAGGGCATGTGTCTGAGCCTTTTGTGAGGGTGAAAGTGATGGAGACATGCGGGATGGCTGTGTTGAAACATGTTGCCACCGTGTGATCCTCCAATGCTACTATGTGCGTTTTTGCATTTTTGTGTGAAGGGAATCCTTATGGGATATTCTATCCCTTCCTGTGCTTCATACAGCAACGAAGTTGAGTGATGGGAATTAATCCGAGAGCTTAATGCCACCAGGATTTTGTTGCAAGACTATCTCCCAGTGTCAGACCTCGCGAGCGGACTTCGATTTCCAGCCATGCGAGAGGGAAAAAAAACCCTGGGCCCTAGAAGCCCTTAATCCCCAAGTCCCAAGCCCTCAGCGGGCCCTCGAAAGCGAGGTCCAACCGTGATGGCAGGCCACCAAGCCCCAACGAGGCTTCAGGGGCGCCGGGTTCGCAGCTGTCGGGATTCAGTGCTTTAGGCGACGCAGACGCTAGGGGCGCTCGGGGCTAGTGACGGCTACTGCCACTTGGGGCTCACCCACCCTCACCAGATTTGCCCACGGCCCTTCAAGAAGGACCCGACCTCGGAGGACGACCAGATGATGGCTCTGTGACACTGCGGGTGGTTCAGCTTCCATGGTTGCAGATTTTCCTTGTTTGCCGCTGTCACTGGGTTCGCCTCAAGGACGAATTTTCCAATTGCACCTATGGTTTAAGGATGCGTCATCATAGGTCCAAGAAGGCGGTCCAGGAGGGCTATCTATAGTTAGAAGCCAGGTGGTGTTCCTCGAGAGCCCTAGGTGCTCGTGGAAGTGTCAACCTCTTGTACAAAGATCATCGGGGGGGCTCCAAAACGTGCTGGGAATGGGCCGTAGCAGCATGCAGGCTTAAACTCTACTGCGCGTGAAGTGTACCAAGTGTCAAAACCCTAAGCCCAAAGCCAGCGAAACGTTAAGGCCCAACTCCTCCCTCTGGAGCCCCCTCCAGCTTAAGGTGAGCTTTAAGTTGCCCCAGCTGTGCTGCTTTTGATCTCGCCGGGTTCAGTGTCTAAGATTGTGAGCATGAAGTCACGTTTCCTCACCTTTGCTCTCCAAGCCGAAGTGTTTAAAGGTTTGACTTCTGGGGATGAGTGCCTCGCTTTGGGCCCCTTCCTAACATGACCTCCGGCCGCTATCCTGTTCCACTCTGACCTGTTTGCTGGATACTTGCGGTGTTTAGGGTAGGAGGCATGCCCGAACGAAGCTGGTGATCATGCTTCTCAACACTAACCGTGTAATATATAGGCCTTAGTGCTTGCCTATAGGGTTCGTTATTGTACTTGTAGCATAGTGGGCCCCAACATCCCCAAAACCCTATTCTAACTATTCAGGCCCTTATGTTAGGAGCCATCGGCGTGAAAGCCCAACACTCGGACACGCCACGTGGACTTCGTACCGCAGCTGTTGGAGGGTAGGCTGGGGGAAGACTAGGGGAAGCCTGGAAGGCTTCGGTCGAGTCTCTGTTTGGGTAGGATGAGAGAGGCTGCTGTAGAATCCGTCAGCCGATGCAGATTGAAGGATGTCACCCTTTGGGCAGCCATGTCAACGGAAGGGACTACCTGTAGCGCAGGAAACGACATGCTTTGGATGTTAATGCTGAAGTTTGCTTTTGGGAATTCATAGGCTTCCAAATTATACCAGCAGGAGTTCCTAAACCTTGTACTCCAAAGCCCCAGTATTTTGGGTTTTAGCCGCGAAGTCTTGGGTCCTTGCCGGACGCCGGGTGTGCCATGGTGGGCATGGCTCCAGCAGAAGATGGAGCAGGCCTGCAATGCATCCCAAGTGGGAAGTCATTCGTTTACTAAAGGGGCCTAAACAACTACCAATACTATTTTGGGGTTCCGTAAAAGAATTAGTGGTATAATGGGCGCCAAAACCCATTCTAATCATTAAGGCCCCTACATTAAGGGGGTGAAGGTTGAAGGGTGGAGTGATTCCCCTTGTCTTTGATTGCGCATGTGGCAGGTTTACTCTAGACCCTAATCTGCCGCAAAACCCTATAGCCTTCAACCTTCGACCCTAAACCCCAGATTCCCACATAGTTTGCAGTTTCACTCAGCAGACCTCGAACCCTATGCCTCGCCTTGTCCGAGCGTGAGCGCCGAAACCGTCAAAGGCACCTCTCTTAAAGGAGCCCTTAGAGGAGCCCTCAAGGGGAATCCTTTAAAGGAGCCCTTAAAGGAATCCCTTACAGGAAAGGAACCCTTCAGGGGCTCCTTTCAAGCGCAACGAAAGGGCCTTCCGCCCCTGAAACGAGGCCAGGGTAAGGCTGGCGTCGCCTTGGCTGCAACGAGCAGAGAGGGTTCAAGGGTTTTCTCTAGGGGGGCTGAGGGGGCTCTACATGTACGTATGTGTGTGTATAATATGCGTCTAAGATATAAGCATATGTATATATATATATATGTGTGTGTGTGTCTCTACGTATACATACATTTTATGTTTATGTATATGTATATATGTATGTACGTATGTATGTATTTTTTTACATATGTGTTTGCTGTGCATTTTTTGTGCACAGCTTCTGTTTTTGCGCTTGAATTTGGGGGCTTTCTAGGCCTTCGGGCTTGGAATGTTTAGGGTGTTCTTGTTTGCAGTATGCGTTGTTGGTGTGCTTGATGTGTTTGTGCCTGCACATGTCGCCGCAATTCGCTGCCCGCGCCGGCCCGGAGAGCATCAAAATCTTCCGCCTTCGTCTCATCTTCGAAGCTTCCCGGCGCCTCGAGCCGCAGAGTGTGCAGGGCCACAGATGCAGCTGCGGGGTCACAACTTGAGGGCTTGGAGGTGAGAATCTAATGTTGGGGCCTGAAGAATTACCAACATTATTTTTGGGGGTTCCTTGTTAAATTAACAGCATAGCATAATTCCCCAAAACCTTATTCTAATTATTGAGGCCCTACAGTAGCTCTTCCAGCGGCGACCGTAGCATAGACCCGCTTGGTATACTGCATGTGATGAAGGTGCCATAGGAGCGGAACCCGTAGTCTTGTGGACCCCGGCTTTCCTTCGGATTTGTGATACCACCATCCCGGGATAGCAAGAGCAGTCAGGCAGACCATCATGGCGCACCGCGTGGCTGTCCTCGAGAAGCAGATCCTCGCAAGCGTGCCCCGGCTAAAGGGTTCAGGGGACCGCGTTCAAACACGGATAAGTGCCGGGGCAGGTTTCAAGGTGTTCTTTTTTCTTGGTTTGAGGGTGTAGGGTTTGGTGGTTGACGGTTTGGGGCTGGAGTAGCAACAGGAGAGGATAAGGAGTGGTGGTGGCGGTAGGAGTGGCAGTCGTGGTACGCTGGTGGTTTTCGTGGTGGTGGTGGTGGTGGTGATTGTGGTGGAAGTTGTAGTAGTGGTGGTAAAATCCGTCTCCTTCGTTTTCCCTTCGCACCGAAATCTCACAGGCGGGCGGGGTAGACCTTACTACACACATCTATCTCTATATCTACAGAAAATATAGACGCACACACACACAAATAAAATGCTATGCCTTTGCGGTAAAAACGGAATAGCAGCAGTAGCAGCAACAAAAAGCGAATCACGGTAGCAACACATGAAATCAATCATAGAGCATTCTGAGGATGCCGCCGTCTCCGGTGGCCTCGAGATGCGTGGCGTCGCAGGCGCCGAGGATGCCGACTTCGAGGCCCGCGTGGCGGCCATGAAGACCTGGAGACTTAGAGCAGAAAAGCGAGAGTTTCCGAAAATTCGGCGGCTACCCTATTTTGAGGTTCCTACCTTCCTACCAGGTCCTACCATTTAGGATACCATATTAGGTCCCCTACCCAGCATATAGTTTCCTTCTGCGCCCACTACCCTGTTATGAGGTTTCGTTTCTGTCAAACTTATGCTCATGGGGAAAGGCAGTGAGTGCGCAAACTTGTTTCCTTTCGGGCTTCAAATGAGGGGTACCTTATTTTGGGGGGTCCTTATAATCAGGATCCTATTATTTAGGGTCTAGGGTACTATATTGGGGTCCCCTATTTTAAGCCCCGAGGCTTCAGCCCGGATCTTGAGCCCCCAGACACCAGGGTTCAGGTCGTAGCCGTCACGCCGAGGATGGGCGCCGAGCGCTTCAAGTACACCACCCGACCCTACAAGGCCGGGTTTGCTCTTGGGGAGATCGGGACCCGAGAAGTCTCTTTGTAAGCATGAACACTGACACAACGCTCCAAGGATGTTGCATGGTATCCACCCTTCCGCTGGACCCATCTATGAGAAACTGCATCGCAATGTCAAGAATCGGATGTGGTTGGTCTCGACAGCATTTCTCACTTCTGCTGTTCTCTGTACTTCTCTCTCCTACTTGCAAGAGCTCTATAGCCACCTATACATGCATGTTGACGCACAAAAAGCAAGCAGATGTGGGCGGGTTCGTTGCTTTTCGACTGCATGCACTTGCATGGGCCGAACTTGGAGTACTTACCAGACACCATGTCTTGAGGGCTTAGGGGTGTTCAAGCATTTCAGGTGTGTCAGACACTTTGGGGTCTGCTGTATGCAACTCAACAAGGCTGATCTCTGCAGAAGCTTGTGAACTGGTTGCGATCTTCCATTGTGGTCAAACTATCATCTGCCAGAAGGGCCAAGGTAACCCTAAACCCTAAACCTTAAACCCTAAACCCTAAACCCTAAACCTTAAACCCTAAACCCTAAACCCTAAACTCTAAACCCTTGTTGTCCTGAGAACTCTTGGGCAAGGGAGCCCTAGGTTTTCTGAAGCCCCTCAGGTGGAGGACGTCGTGAAGCTCCAGGGCACCATGCCCATGTACTTCAACGGTGCCAAGATCTCTGACAAGCTCTACAAGATGCTCCGGGACCACCAGGCAGCTGGGGTACCTTATTTTGGGGTCCTGACAATGAGGATCTTACCGTTGAGGGTATTAGATTCTACAAGATGCTCAGGGACCACCAGGTGCGCGAGCGGGGATAGAGAACTCAGGCTTTTGATTTTAGGTCCGAGGCCGAACTTGTTCGTCAAAGCATTTAGGATCCTGGTTATAAGGACCCCAAAACCCCTAAGTTTCGGAAACTCCCAGATACGTCAGAAGCGGAGGCGGATCATGGGTTTCAGCTCGCGGCAGGGTCCTGCGGGGAAGAGCATGGATCTGCATTTGCCCTCGTTGCCGGTTTTATCCACGGGGCTTTCGGGTTTAAGGGCTTTAGGTTTTGGGTTGAGGCTTTACGGATCGTGTAAGATGGGAGCTGTGTCGTAGGGCTTTGTCCCTATAAGGGAGGGACGTGCAGATTAGTCCTGCAAAGAAGGGAGTTGAAGCCCGGGAAACACAGCGCATAGGGCTAATGGCCCTAAGAAGCTAGGGGCGCTGTCACGAGCACAGTCCTAACTGGCAGAAGAGCGGCAAACTACCAGGCGTCCTTGCAAGCAAGCCTGCAGCAGAAGGGTTTCGAGGTTGGCCTAGTTCTGAGTTGAGCTGTGAACTTACGGAGGCGAAGGGAACCTGCTCCCACACTTTCGGGGCTCTCGACACCGTCCAGGCGGGCCTTGTGCGTCGAGCTGTCCGTTTTCGTTTCAGACTCTCCTGTTGCTTGGGGTTGCATTCTTTTGAGTCCCAGTTGTAAGCAGGGGCT